GGTAACGCCCGACCTCGCTACGCCACTTATATATATATATATATATATATATATATATATATATATATATATATATATATATATATATATATATATATAATCTCGCTGGTTGAACACACTTTCTCCTTAACTGACGTAAATATTTTTCCAGAGGTAGAACAAAAAAAGAAAGGAATGAGGTAATAAAGGGAAGTGACTCAGACAAGGGAAGTCATTGATAACGAGAAATATTCAAATGTGATAAGGCGTTTTGGTTTGGAACCGGAAGTGATTGTGGAGCCAGAATAATTATTCTCGGTGGGGGTGAGTGGATTAACGTCGAAAACAATGCAAGTTTTGAGTGAGTAGGTGGTCACGTGGTCGTGGGCGGGGTTTAGATGTAAGACTGACAACACGAGAATCAGCAACATGGAGTCTTAAACAGGGGCGGAACTACCATACCACCAGACCCCGCAATGTGATGGGGGGGGGGGAGGGGGCAGGCCGTTTAGGGAGCTCCAAATCCGACCATAAACAACAAAAAAAATGTGCACCTTGATAGACTAGTGGTTTTGTGAAAAAAAAAAAAAAACAGATCTACTACAGCAGTTATTGTTCTACAGTAACTAACAAAGACTGTTGTATAAAAAAATTACACAAGCTGTAGTGTGTAAGATAAGCAAACCTTCAAACCACTTCCATGACTTATCACTCCTCTTTACATAGTCATTTTATAGTTTTGAACTAAGCAAATTAAAAAAAAGCAATTTATTATCTTAATTATTATTTAAATAAATTATACTCAAAAATGACTAGCTATAAAAAGGAGATGAGGCTCGTCAGCCGGGGACAGCAACCCATCTAGGAGAGAGAAATAATCAAACAGGAGTAGAGTCCCTTAGGCGATAGGATTACCAACTCTGGTTTCCTTTCGGCAGCTCCTGCGACACAGCTGATTTCAAGCTGTACAGGTAAAAAAAATTTTTTTTTACATCCTGTCCCTAGGGTCCATCAGCTGTGTGGAGAGAAGGGGGCGTCTGATACATGGGCAACATTTGGCTCTTCTCAACTTAGGGCCCAGGCTTTGAACTTAGATTTCCAATGTACAATCATCCAATCGTCAATTAGTAAATAACGCACTGCAATCACGTCTTAATATTATAAAATTAATGAACAAGTCGAACATTGATGCTGTGTTGTACTTAGAATTTTATTGTGTTTCAAGCTTCTTAAATATACTCAAATTTATTATATAATTATTTTTTATGTTCATCGTAGAATGAAAAAGGACAAACATTCTTTAACTTGCTTTCTCTGTGTGTTTATTTGTTTGTCTTTCCAATCAAATCTTGCGATCGAAATTTCTGGCACTTCCCAGTTAGCTAGCGCGCTGAAATTTTCAGGGAAGCTTTCTTTTGGATGACCATTGAATATTCAATTGTTATTATTACTAAATTGATCAATGGAAACATTTTATTGAGCATTTTAGACCGCTATATAATCTATATATATAATTCTCCTCTGCTAGCCATTAGAAAAAAAACCAGCGACGCGTACCTCGCGCGCAGTGAAGCGAACGATCACATGTCGCCACAGGCTTAGGGGCAGAGAATTTAGCTTGAACCGAGTTTAAACTTACAGGAGGTAGGCCAGTTTGGGGGAGACGATATGGTCGAGTGGTTGGGCACACGATTGCTATCCCACTCGACACGGGTTCAAATCTATGTGTTCTAGTCAGTAACGTATTCAAACAACGTGTTTTTTACGAGTTGTCTTTTTACGAGTTGTCTTTTTACGAGTTGTCTTTTTACGAGTTGTCTTCGTTTACCCAAAAAAAGTGAAAAGATAAAATCGATAGCAAGATTTTAATGCAAACAAACAGACAAAGACTAAAAAGTAGAAAATAATAATCATTAAAAAAGTTTTAAAAAACCCACGTTTTCTGATTGAACTAAAAAGTAGAAAATAAATGCTATAGGCCCTACATCACAATAATGCAAGCGATCACTCTACTATAAGCGAGCAAAAACGTGGGGCGCCGTGATTTTCTTACAGTTTCTAATACTGTTGACTCTCTACAAGCTCCCTAATAAAAGTCAATAGTATTATCTAATCAATAGTAATATAACTTTTACTTCGGCGCCCCACGTTTTTCATCGCTTATAGTAGAGTGATCGCTTGCATTATTGTGATGTAGGGCCTATAGCATTTATTTTCTACTTTTTAGTTCAATCAGAAAACGTGGGTTTTTTAAAACTTTTTTAATGATTATTATTATAAAAACTGTTTAGTTCTTTTTATAATTTTCAGGTAAGGGAGATAATTGAAATAATAACGCATAATAAATAATTTTATAAAAGGCTATCTGCCCTTATATGTCTTTCGTTAATGAATAATAATAATATTATACCGATTCTTTTCGTCTTTTTTGTTCAAGTAGTCAAACTGCAAATAGTTGGGGTTTTTTTTATACAAACACGGGTCTACTGATAGTCTACCCTGTTTAATAAAAATTCTTCCTGGCATCCCCCCCCCCCCCCAAATGTCTACCCCCCCCCCCTTCCGAACGAAATGGAATTTTTATAGAAAACATACTTTTACCAGTGTGTGTCCCCCCCCCCCCCCTACATCGGAAATGTCTGCCCTTCCTCTTCCCCCCCCCCCCCCCCCCGAGACAAAAGTCTGAAAAAACTGACCATACTGTCAATAAAGAAGAATAGACCCGAAGCACGTCTACTGCCCCACCCCGGAAGTTTAAATCCGACCCCGCACTGCCACTGCATAGGCCTACTGTGTTTACAAAAAGCCCCCACCCCAGAGGCGTAGCGACCCTTCCCGGCGCCCGGGGACAAACTTTCAATTTGGCGCCCCCCTCGGGAGCAGATTTTCAAATTGCACCCCCCTCACACTTTCGATTTGCACCCCCCCCCCCCCACTTCAAACTTTCGATTTGCACCCCCAATCAAACTTTCGATTTGCACCCACCCCCCCCCCCCCCTCAAACTGTTTATAATGCAAAAATGCAGCTAAAATGACATTTCAATTTGTTTTTACAACCTATTTTGGCGCCCCCTAAGATCGGCGCCCGGGGACATATGTACCCCCCTGCCCCCCCCCCCCCTCCCCATCGCTACGCTTCTGCCCCACCCACCCCCGACCCCGATGAGGAGAGCGGAGGTAAAATAAAATAATCCAAAAAAAGGCATGCGTCATTTATGGATGACCCCTTTACTTCAAAGAAACCGTGTGTCCAGATTCGTCAATTGCCAAAATAAATGCATGAAAAGAAATCTTTTGTTTTTCAAAAAACATAACTTTTAACATTTGAATAAGTAACAAAAGAGTTAAAGCCCTTCTTCTATGTATGAAATAGATAAGGCTGTTTATTACTAGATGAACACAGATACAATATCACAAAAAAATTAATTTAAAATATTTCATAATTCTTACCTGCAATCCTCTATCATGTGAAGCTTTAGGCGTCATTTTTCTCTTGGTGTAGCCTTTCTGCTGATAAACCGTTATCTAATGGTAAGTATACTGAATCAATTGTATGCTATTTCCACCCTTTTTCATTGCTCAAAATAGTCCTTCGGAATAAAGTAAATCATAGTCTACAATGTTAGCATCATGGTGGCGTCACTTGGAGAGGTGCAGGGGTTGACTTACCCTATCGACAACTTCTTGCATTTGAAAAAATGAGAACTTTCAAACATTTTTTTTAATTCGAAACAAATATTGGTATTTAAGCTGATTTAAGCTGATTTAGTTAAATAAATAAATATAGGAACTTGTCACATCTATCGTAGGGGGTTGAAGGCCTGGGTGACGTCAATACGTGTCACCCTACCTAGTGACGCCACTGGCAATCAGTACTAGACATTTGCATGTATTCAGTGTCTGGCTCTGTAGAAGACAAGCTGTGGCCATGGAATGGTAATGATGTAAGTCGATATCATGTCCTTGTTACCACGCTAATCTGGTGCGCAGGGTTGTGTGTAGAGTTGTGGTATAGAACCTATATCGTTCGCCACTTGACTAAAGAAGAGGCTCATAGAAAAAATATAGTGGTCAGTGTTTCTTCCAGACTTTTTTCTCCGGGGGGGGGGGGGGGGGGCACTTGATATTTCTCCGGGGGGGGGGGCGGTCAACATTTTTTCGGGGGAGCGTACACTAGTAATAGTGCATGTTTACTATATAAATTCCATCTTGTTCGGGGATGGGGGGGGGGGGGGGCGGTAGACTTTCTTCAAGGGGGGGAGAAGCCCCCCCGGAAGAGATGCCTGAAAGAAACTCTGATAGTGGTAGCGGAGGTAAGCACTACGTAGGAGTCGTGAATTTGTATTATTTGGCCTATATGATAGACAAGTTCGGCCAGTTCTTGACACGGTCGGTCACGTCGCATTTTAAATGGCTGAGGTTTGCGGTCAATACCCGATGTGCTAAAAATTGCCTGTATAAAAAGCCACCTGTTATATGTAGTGCGTGCTTTTGTTGTTATATGTGGATAGCGACCAGTGTTTCTTCCAGACTTTTTTTAATGCAAAAGTGTGACGTCACACCATCTGACATCCCCCCCTCCTCATCACACACCGTCACAAAATTACGGGCCCCCTTCCTCCCCCCCCCCCAACTAGTGTGACGTTATTTATGGACGACTCCTAGTTCCCATGGAGCCGGAAGAACGCCTTTGGTGCGAAGTATAACACTAATGAAGTAATTAGTAATTGATTGACATTTAGAATTACAAAAGCTCCATGGACTACAAATCTTTTTTGTATAATTTGGTTTTGATTTATGGATAGAGTAGTTAAAAGTAGGCTTAACTAAATGCGTTAAATACTTCGCACTGAGTTAAACAAATTTTAAACTCAACCCTGGAATCTTGCGTTACCAAATATTTAAAATAGGTAATCCTCCAGTATACCATTCCGAAATAATACGTAGAAACCAAATGTTTTAAATGTATCAAGAGCTTGGAGTAGGCTAGGCCTAACCTGCAATTTAGATTTCGGCTCTTACACCGCTCAGTTCAAAATGGCGACTACTACATTTGCAAACCCTACACAGCTTCTTCCACTTGGTAAGTTAGAAATAAACTCATTAGGCCTAACAAAATTTAATGTTTGAAAATATAGATCTAGCGCTATTATTTTAGAGTGCACTAACAATAGTATGATGGGACCTTCATTTCAATTAAATTGCGAACCAGTAGACTCCACTGAACTGGAAGGAGTTAGGCTTACGTTGAATTACGCCGGGTACCGGTGTTGGTAAAATGCGAGACGCGGAAGGGCGAGGTATTAAAGTGCGAGAATAAAATTGAGACATTTGGGTTGTTTCTCTTTTTAGCAGTGCGAGAATATGTAAAGTATAATTTTCGCAATCATATTTGCAATTTACCCCCAGTAAAAAAGTGATAGTAAGGTAGTCCTATGCCATACATGAATATCATTTGGTCGCTTTGGTGACTATGCCATTGGGGGCAGTTTCTCCCCCCCCCCCGGAAATGTTAGTCCACCCCCCACCTTAAAATTTTAAAAAACATAAATTAAATTACTACACTCAACTTTATTAATAATATGAATAAGATCTAGATCTAGAGGCTAGACTTACTATTATTGTTCAAAATGTTGCTAAATTTCAGCCAATTAAGGGGTCATCATTTTTTTGACGATTTTTACCTCCTCCCCTCCGTCACACATCACAAAAAGCCAGACCCCCCCCCCTAAAATGACGTCACACCTTAGCCTACAACCCCACTCAAAATTGCAGATGAATTTTTCTTAAAACATCGATATTTTTCCAAAATCTTGTCTGAATTCTGTTGAAATAGAGTATTTTTATCAATTCCTATTGCAATTTATCAACAGAGTTTTCTAAAACGCTAAATAACGGCTAAAATTCCGTTTTCAAACATTGCTTTTTAATATTGCAAAAGTGTGACGTCATACTTTCTGAACCCCCTCCCCCTCATCACACACCGTCACAAAATTACGAACCCCCCCCCCTTACTTACAATTAGGCCTAAGTTAAAACATTAATTTAATACACTTGACTATCAATACTTCAACGGTCAAATAATATACAGTTTACATTAACGAATGTTTACGAAACAGATAATTTACCAGATAATTTCTTACGACATCTAGTGAGATCACCACTATGGGTAATATTTATTTACTAATTAACTCAGCTAATGTTAGCACAATACTAATACTAATATATATGCAAAGCAAGACAAAAATGTCACATGACCTGTGGTTTTTTCACCCATCTCGCATTGTGCTGTCTCCGCATTTTGTGTTTTGCAACTTACCAAATCCCAGAACTTCTAGGCTACTGGTGCCTACTTCTGTTGAAAATGAAAACTTACAATATCATTTCAAAATCTAGATACTGTGTTCATCAAAATTCTAAATCTTTAAAATATAACACACGAGCCGACCCGCAGCGTATCACACACCGCTATTTAGTTTTATTTTCTACTTTTCAGTAATTCATAATTTGTGAATTCGACAGTACCAATGCTGTCACTGAAAATATTTGCTTTAAAACACTAAAACCCTCCTTACCCCCAAAACTCCCCCCCCCCCCCCCCCCCCCCCCGTGAAAACAGCCTCCTCTTAGTTACCTCCTCTAACTTACTCTAAGTTTAAAATAGTTTCAAACTAAGTTATCTGCCCCTAATTGGCGTCACTAGGCCGGCTCTACGATTGTAAACATTTAGCGTGAACCACAGCTCACCAGATCATGTGGGGGTGATAGCGATATGCCTAGAGAGGAAAAGAGGGGGCTGCTAAGAGGCGCGCTTACAGCTTGGTGTTTTCTAACGTCTCCAAGAAGATAATTATATATATTATATATAGATGGTTGGGGCCGTTCTGACATGAATCATTTCAGGGGTTTGGAAGGGGGCTGACATTGGTGAGCTAAGCCACTTGACGCAGGGATATGAATAAGGTAGAATAAGTAGCCTCTACTCATATATATAATCTAGCTAAGCTAATTACTAATAAGTATTATAGGCCTAATTGTACTGTTAATTTATAATTAACGTTCACTATAGTATTATAGCAATCATTGGATTGAATTTGAAAACAAGAATGCTAATTGATCTTTTATAATTTAAAATTTAGGCATAAGCTGGTTAAACAGATTAGTGTTGAAGAATACAATATTAACCCTTTGAGCCCGGACCTCCCTGGCCTAATTTCTCCCATTTCCTGAGCTCTCAGGCCCAAAACTATTTTCACTTACCTGTTTCTAGCTTTGCCTATAACCTTTGACCCGTTTGAGATAATCAAACCATATTTGATATCCAGACTCAGGATCAAACAACAATTCAGCAAGATTCTGAAATTCTTGGGGTTTTTTTTGGCTTGGATTTCTTTAAAAGCCTACAACTTTTGAACCGTATGAGATAATCAAGCCAAATTTGGTATCCAGACTCCGTATCAAACAATTCAGCAAGATTCTGAAATTCTTTACTTTTTTACAATGTATGAACATAACAATGTGTATGAAACAAACACAGCCGATGGCTGTGGCTCAGTTTTTCATTTCAATGGCATTGCTTAAAAAAAAAGTATTTGTACAGCAAAAGTTTGCTCTAATAAATTAAATATTGATATACCAATAATTGTTTTATACTACTTACTAAACATAATGACAAAACTAGAGTAACTTATCTATTTATTGTTATAATAATAATAGTAATTATAACCGAATAATAAAATAATATAAAATAATCAATTTTTTTTGTTGACAATGTATTTTATGAAATGCAAACACTTTCACTTTTAACCTTCCCCAAAATATATTTTTGATTTTTTTAGAATCATAATCCCGCACTAAAAAGATATTTGCACCGTTTTATTCAGTACGCTGCTAATTATATTTAATAAGACTAAGACGGTATACCAACCACTAGGACTATGCTGCTAGATCATCAGGCCGGAAAACCTGCTTTTCGGGCATATATATAATGTTGAAGCCGGTTTACTGGCCTGTCGGACTCAAGGGGTTAAGTTATGGGGTGTACTGTCAACTGGTTTCAAGTTTTGATATTCATTTTAAAACAGAATTTACTTTAATTGAACTAGAACATTTTGTAACTTTTTAAAGCTACAATTGCTAACATTTATAAAGACCCCTTCCTGTATTACAAATATCTGACCCCCTCCCATTCAATGCAGTGGTTAGATCATTTTTATTAAAAATACATTATAGGTCTAATATTTCCTGGAATTTCAGATTAATTTTGGTGCAGGAATTATCTAAGCCTGCCAATTAATTTTGCACTCATCTAGCATTTTACCAGTTCACCATTTTAAGTTTTTTACTAACACTACACTGTCTTAGTATTACTTTAGTTAAGATATGGCAACAAGTCGATCTTACAAATGCAATGAACCTAACAATTAGAAATTTTGTTTTTATATATAATTTGTCCACTATTTAGGAATGGTTATAGTGGATATTTCTTCTGATATCTTAAGTAGTCTTAGTTATTGACACTCTGTTATGAATTGAAATTAACACAAATAACATAAATTCTTACTTATCAAATAAAATAAATATTTCTGTCAAAAGTAGTCAGTCTTTCCTGTTAAAATAATTAAAAAGGATGTGTCTTTGAAAGGTAATTATTAGTCTTTATTTTTCAGAACTTGTTGACAAATGTATCGGATCAAGGATCCACATCATCATGAAGAATGACAAAGAAATAGTTGGAATTTTGCTGGGGTTTGATGACTTCGTCAGTATCCTTTGATCTGATTTCCAACCAAGGGGAATCATATATAAAAATATAAAGCATTTTTCTAAATTTTTATTTCCATTTCTAAATTTTAACATGATGGTTGATAAAATTTAATTCAGCTATAAGGAGGCGTCAGGTCAATTTTAATTGAGTAATTAGTTATTGAACTAATAACTAAAGTTAGTTTGTAATTTTGGGTTGCCATTATAAATATTGATCTTAACTAGATTTTAGATATGGTGCTTGAAGATGTCACAGAATTGTAAGTCAACATCATATTAATTTCTAATTATATTACCTTCCTTGATTCTATATTCAAATCAGTTACTTAAAAATATTTATAAATACATATAATTCTCCTCTATAAAACATTAATTACCTATTTTTCAAAAATATATAATAAAGCTTGTTTTATTATAAATGGTTTCTTGTTTACCCTCTAATTAAAAGATCCTAAGAATAAAAAAATATTTTTTGTGTGTTTTTACTTCAAGCGCCATGATAGATGCACAACTAGATGCTGTCTTTGTAGTCACAACATTTGTATATGCTTTGGCTGTAAAATTATTTGTGAACGTTGACCCCTAACAGTAATCTACTTTTGTGGTTTTCAATTTTTGAAGTATTTTTATTGTTTCTCTCAGTGAAAGTACATCAGAAGGCAGAAGGGTTACAAAGCTGGACAAACTTTTGCTCAATGGAAATAATATCACTATGGTAGGATATCATTTTAGAAAAATACATATTCTACTTGTAAACTCACAATGGCACAGCAGAACTCTATGAGTGGGCTTTACTATACAGTAGATTGTAGCCAAAATCTCATTGATTAACCCTTTTTATTAAAATCTAAAGTAAAAAAAAAAGTAAAGAATCCTCTTTAGACTTAGCAATCCATTGGGCATATGAAGTAGAGTTCATATGTTTCTTGACCTCAGCATATAAAGGCATTGTGTGGTCGGACATTTCCCCGTCTTTATTTTCCCTAACATGAGTCAGACTGGGTGGACTCGAGGGCGTTCTATTAACTTGAACCCAGATTTGAAGTTGAGACTTTTGGGTTAGCAGCCCAGCACTCTTTTATCACTTAGGCCATGCCATCCCATACTTTAAAATGTATGTGAGATTTAATTTGATACAATGCTTTTTGAGCTTCATTGACTTTTTAAGGGCACAGGAGAGGTGTATAAGTTTTCTTATTCATTATTTTTTATTATATCTCCATGAGATTTCAAACATACTTAAATGTAATGTCGGTTTTCCTTTGTTATATTTTTAATGTGATGAGAAGTATTGTCTGTGATGTTTAGTCAGAGAAGTCTGACGTTTTATGTTATTGTCTGTTATATTGACAGCAGACATGCTCTCTACCACATGACCAAACAGTCCAATTTCTGTGATGTTTAAAGTCTTATCTGTGTCAGATGTTTAATATTACATCTTATCTGTGTCTGATGTTTAATGAAGTTTTATCTGTATCTAATGTTAAGTCTTATCTATGTCTGATGTTTATTAAGTCTAATCTGTGTCTGATGTTTAATGTTAAGTCTAATCTGTTTCTGATGTGAACTTATTTTTTCCTCAGCTTGTCCCTGGTGGTGAGGGTCCTGAGGTCAACTGACACTCAACATTCTCCATTTCTCATGTGTGCAAGATTTTGTCTGTACAGTTGATTGTGTGTCAAAAATCTGAGGGAGTGAATGGATTTGAAAGAAAGTAAAACTGGATTTTAACCATTTTCATTATGATCATTTTGTATAGAATGGCCTTTGTTTATGTTGGTTATTTTAAAAATAAACTTCTAAAAAAAACAACTTGTTTGAATTTCGTTCCAAAAATAGAAGGCGGGGCAATAAAAATTCAGCATCTCAAGTATAAGGATTGTGCACATTTTTATACTACTAACACAAAATAGTTTTTTTTTTTTCCACCACATGATTCCCTGCACAATTTTTAGTATAATTTGTGTACAATCTCTTCTCTATTTACACCAGCACTTGAAAAACTATACTATAAAAAATGACGGAACAATACACAGAGCAATATTATTGTTTTATTATCACAAATCTTAGTTCTGTGTGAAATATAAATATTTACAAATGAAATATAGACCTGCATTGTTACGAGATTATAAATAGATGTTCTACAAAAATTTAATGAAATTGATAAATGGGTGAATTTCTTTTTTGGGAGAATTAGCTGCATTCATTTTCACATCTCATGATCTGGGTTGTTAATTAAATTGTGATAATGATTATTACATTTACACATACTAAAACATTTTCTGGATGGAAAACTTGTACATTCACAGACTTAAAAAGCCTCGGTAAAACATTTACTAAACAAAACCAATGAATTTCTGAACCACTTTTCCATGCACAACTTTCAAATTATGACATTCTCAAATCTCTAACAAAGATGTTATTAATGTCAACTGTGATGCCAAAGTTTAAAACTCGCAATAAATATTTAAAAATAAATTTTAAAATGATAATAATTTAACCAAAAAAAGAAAGATTGAATGCAACTTTTTGAAGCTAAAACTAAAATAGCACAAAAAAATTTACATTTTAAAAATATATTAATAAAAGTGAATTCTTTATATAATTAATATAATTTTGTATTATTTGAAATAAAATCTTACTGTAAGACTTAGTAAACAAAATGAACATCTTTGTAAAATGGAGTATGAGACCAAAAATTCACTTAGATGTACTGGAAGTTTCATTAAAAATGTTCCATGTCTTTTGGTGAATAGCAGTCAAGTAAAAGTTGCTTATCTTTAGTCATATATGTATTTGAATACTACATGCCCTAAATGTAAAGCCAAACTACACTTGAAATTCATCATTTTATTTTTCTATGGTGCTGTTGACCATGGTGGGTTTATCTGTAATGATTTACTCAACAACTTTAATGGAGGGCGACATGGTGAGAGATGACTGGCCAGCTAAAGGTTTGAATTGCAGGCCAAATGTACTCTGCTGTGACTTTGGCACAGAGGTTAGACCAGAAGTCTGTTTTCTTGTGTTCTCTTCTTTGGCTGATTTAGGAAATCTCACTGCAGTTGCTTTACCAACTGTTTGCTGGAATAGTAGAGTTAAATTTTTAAACAATAAATAATAGGATTTATTTAACTTTATAATACTAGGTTAATATAATAATAAAATGTTTCAATATTTTAGAAATGTAAAAAGTAAGTTGTTTAACGACTATTTAGTAATGTTTCAAAACAAAAAATGTAAATAAGCAGTTTTTTTTTCTTCTTCGTTCTTAATTGTAAGAGATTTTCTCCAACACAATAAAGCATTTCGTGTCAACTAGTTATAGGCCATTGACTTCAATACAGCATGCACTTCTTTCTGGATTTGCTTCCATCACCATTGTCTAACATAGAACAAACTACAATGCAGCAGTTATTTGATTATGGAGTTTTCTCTCCTAGATGGGTTGCTGTTCCCAGTTATTGAGCACTATCTGCCCAGTGGTTAAAGCTCAGGACTTTTTGATTTAGCAACCATGAGCTTGATCACGCCATTCCCAAATAAGCAGCCAACTTTACAATATATTTCAGCACAAGTAATTTTCACAACCACTTCCTATGGTGTATTTAGCTAGTTGACGTAAGGACAGATTAAAAAAAACAATTACATGGCTTGTGAATTTAGCTAAAGAAAATTGTAGTGTTTGAGTTTTGAGTAAATAAACTAGTCTCAATCTTGTCCTTATAAGCTGTACTTGTGAAGATATTTATCTGGCAACTTTACTAACAAACAAAAAAAAAAGACTGGCCAAACAGAATTAGGCTATATTAGATTTAGCGGATGAAATTTAAAAAAAAAACATCACCATCCAACAAAAAATATAATTATTTGATTAGTTGAAGATTTTTTTTTTTAAACTGTTGCTCATTGTGCTTTAATTGTTAATGTTTTAAAATCTATGACTATGATTATTGTATCTGGTTGGAAAAATTGAAAAATCTCAGCAACCATAAAGATAACTGATCCACAACTCACTTTAGTAATTGGGTCATGTCTTTCCACTACAATGGAGGCCATCGGAGGGGCCAAGGTCACTCCTTGGTTCTGGAGACCTAAACTTTTAGTTCCTGTTCGAGAATTGGGAGCAGTTGATGGTCTGGATTTTGTAGTCTTCACCTGAAAGAGTTTACAAAAAAAATTTAAGTACACAATGTTTTAAGTTCTATTTGTTGGTTTATAAATTATTAGCTGGATGATATGATTAAATGAAACTTCTCTTGTAAGCAAATTTTACTTTCCATTATTTTTCCTATAGCACATTCTTTAAAATCCTCCTTACTTAAATGGTAATTAAACCAGCTCTATGTCTACGGTATGATGATTAAAAGTATAATATAGTGACAGTGACAGTGTTTATTTTAGAAAAAAGTCAAGAAATAAATATTTTTTTGAATAAAAAATAAACCACTAGCTTTTAAAACAACTGGTCCAACTATATAGAAATGCTTTTGTGTGTTGCAAGAACTACTAGTAGTAGGTTTTGTTTAGAAAAAGCAAACCAATAAAAAAGGCATTTTATAACAATAAACTTTTAACAATCTGGCCAAATATTACAAACACCTTTTGAGTGTTGCAAGAACTGCTAGTGGCTGGCATGGAATGTGGCTGATACCCAGTAATGTACAGGTCTGGAACTGCTGTCACAGTCAAATCTGGCGGCAGGGATTTGGATGAATGCTCGTCTTTCTGTGGTATACTTGACTCGAGGTTGTTGTTGATATTCACATTGTTGTTGCTGTACGAAGCATCTGAAAATATTTTTTAAAAAAAAACAGTCAATTTAAAATTGTTCTAAATGACACAACCGTCAATTTAAAACTTTTCTTATATATACATATTTATAAATATATATATATTTATATATATATATATATATATATATATATATATATATATATATATATATATATATATATGTTACCGAGTCTATTTACTTGTAGTGCCAAATGTTACCGAATGTATTTACTCGTGCTATCTTTGACCAGCACACAACATCGACCACAATACAGATACTCGGAAGTGCAGGTTTACATTGATCTCTTTATTACATGAATCAATAGAAATGCTCCACATAACAATGCATCAATGTTCCACAAGAATACAATGAACCAACTGACCCCCACTGTCCTCACTAGTCCTCACATATCAGAATGCACGTGTCCATCGTTCCTATTCTCACAAATCACAACACGTCCACACAGTTCAGTCTTCAACTCGGTTCTGCGCTTTCTACCAGTCGCCTTCCCATTATATCCCCTCGTATTCGTAATCCTTTCCATTCGTTGAATCAGACTATGAACTACGCAGTTCTGTCGTATCGCTTCCCAAACTACGCAATGGCTTTGTGTTCGTTATCAGTCCACACCCCCTGTATCAGTTGCATCAGCCCAGTTTGGCCTTGATCGTGTCTTTAGTTGACAGACTGTATTGCGTTCTTATCGTCTTTAGTAACTACACTAGTTACATCCACCCCCGCCTTTTTTTTGTGTGTTTTCAACCACAAACAACGCTTGGCAGGTGCACTCCTTCAGTGTCAAACGCAACACCGTAAAAAAAATTTACTGTTCCACTCACTGTCAATGTCGTCACATTCGTATAAGATTGACAGTTATCCCTATTTCAACATATCAAATGTGTCTACATCATATTCCTCAGACACAAAGCAGTTCTAGAATTCACATCCTATTCCTCAGAAACAAAATCACAACATATCTATTTTTCAATTTCTAAACATTCTAAAACATCAGTTAACAATCATAGCTAAGTTCCAAACAATCTCACGAATGTGTGCCTGCATAGCCTTAGCTGATTCTCAATGAGACACATGAATTTTGGTAACTTTGCCACATTCTGTACAAGTTTCTCCCGATTCATCTAAACCAATTGTTGATACCTTCATAATTCTTTCCCTCCATTTTGCATTTCTCATTTCCTCCTCATAGTTTTGCTCATCTCTATGTTTTCCTTTAGGATTATATGTGGTTGTTCTAGATTTGTTGATCCCGTAGTGGCTGCACAGTTGGTTAATTACTTCTGACTCGAAGGCCCTTCCTTGGTCAGAGTGTAATTGTCTTGGTATACCATATTTGATGAACCAATGTTCTATTAAGACCTTTGCCACTGTTTTGGCCGTCTGATCTCGTGTGGGCACCGCGACAGTCCATTTGGTGAATACGTCAGTCATCACCAACACATGTTCCGTCCCATCCGATGATTGCTCCAACGACGTAAAGTCCATAGCCACAATCTCTAGGGGTTTTGTTGCCAGTAAGTGTCCTGATGGCTGTCTCATTTTGACAACTGGCATTTTCGCATGCTGACACCTCACACAAGCCTCACAATGGCGTTTGACCTCCATCTCCATATTGGTATTAGATCGTAGCAATTCAAGTTCATCTGTATAATTCTTCACTTCATTTTCTCTTTCTGTATTCACTGATTTAAGATTCTCAATAGAAATGTGCAAAACTTCTACTTCTTTTTCTTTATCTGCTATAAGACGTGTATTATTTTCAACCTTGTTCATTAGTTCTAATACTTGCTTTTCTAACTGTTGATTCAATAGCCTTTCTTTTTCTATCATTTCTTCTAGTTTGCCAACACTGTTCTGTTGTCTAATATTTTTATTTTCTTCTTCAGATAATAGACACTTTAAAGATGAACATTTCTCCTGTGCTTTTAATTTGCATGAACTTTCCCTATCCAGTTTCATGGTTAACATTGAGATCTCATTATTAAGTCTACCAATTTCTTCCTTATCATCATTTTTCTCAGCCAAAAAATTGTTCACTTGAAACTTTTTAACATCCAAGTTCATTTCACAGTTCATTTTTTCTATTATTAACAAGTCTTTTGAATTCTTAAGTTCTTCCACCAAGGCTATAGTATCTGTTAGCTTAGTTTCACAATTCTGAAGTTCAGAAAGCTTCAAATCTAATTTTCCTTGTGTAATTTGAAGTTCTTTTTCAATATCTGATAATTTCTCTTCAAGTCTTGTTTGAGACTCTTTCATTGTTTGTCCCATTTTGTTTCTTAAGCCATAACCTCGCCCCTCTGTAGCCTGGACCTGCCTTACAGAGGGCGATCGTTTCACCGGACAGTACCGTGCCATACGTCCGGGCTGTGAGCAGGACAGGCAGATTGGTCGACCGTCAGCTGTCCACTGGAGTGATGGATTGGCAGGTCGCGGCTGTCTAACTTGTCTATGTTTTGTCCAGTTTTTGCCCTGATTATTTGCTGCTGACCTGCTTTCTAACCTCTCCAACCGTTGGTCAACCTTGTCCAGGTGGGCCAACAGTTGAGCCATCATGGTTTCCATCGTGCCGATCCCTGTGGGTGGTGATTGTTTCTGTTCCGGCACAGGGACTTTGTCTACCGAGCAGTTCGATTCGTCCTCATACTCGGACCTGCGGATCGCTGAGTTCCTGACCTGAAGGAAGGTCAACTGTGGGTCTTTGTATACCTCCTCTTTCAAATATCTTCTTGACATAGGGGTTGCTAACCCTTCGATGAAATGGTCCCTCAGCAGGCGCGCATCTATGTCGGGTATTTTGCCTTTTACAGCTTCAAAGGCCCTGTTCATTCGGTGTGAATATTCCATCACACTCTCCGCCAGTCTCTGCTTTATACCTACGAACACCGATAGCAGTTGCGATCCCGACCGTCTCTCCCCAAAGGTCTCCACAATTAGATCTAGCACCTTATTTGGGTCTTTCTGGAGCTCTTTATCGTGGCATTTGACCTCCGCCCTAACCGTCTCCCCTATACTGCTCATCAACAACCTTAATCTTTCCTCTGGTGACATGTATCTCGAGGCCCAGGCAGCTTTGACCTCTTCACTGAACCTGTTGGTTAAGGTTGGATCACCGTCCCCATAAAATTTGTTGATGTGGGATTCTCTAGGCAGGACCACCATATGGATCGGCTTTTCGTCCAAATTAGACATTCTAATTTTTTTCTGTCCTGGTCCATCTGGAGGCAAGGGGTCATCTTCACTGCTGCCTATCTCTGGGCTATCTTTATCTGGCTCAGATTGTTGGGCCAGCAGGAGTTTTTGTTTTTTTCTGATATTTAATTTAAAATACCACTCCTGCGTCTGTCATTCACATTAAGGAAAAATGTTGCAGCTATGCAGCAGATAGTGTTGCCCAAAAGGGAGATCATGACATATTTCCAGTGTCCAAGAGTTACGTCTATATCTTGGTTGTCATCTTTGCCTAGTATTTGTCTAACAACCCAGTTGGAGATGCCAATGCCAATCATCTGGATGCTGGTGGTCAGGCCCATAGCTGTCCCCAGGGTAGTTGGTGTTACAACTAGGGGTATACTGGGCCACATGCTTGCAGCGGCAAAAGAGCATGTGACACCAAGCCAGAATGATAATGAAAGGTGTCTCATATCTGTTATTTTCAATTTCCTAGATTCTGATTTCAGTTTTCCCTTTTATATATTTTCTTCAAATAAAAAAAGACCTTTCCTACCGTTTATGTAAGAATAATTTCCCTGTTCCTGATTGTCCGAATTCACACACGAAACACAGTTATTAATTAGGTTGACAATGGGTGCCGCTAACGGCTGGTCTAGTTGAATTCCACTGCCGACAGCGCCAAATGTTACCGAGTCTATTTACTTGAAGTGCCAAATGTTACAGAATGTATTTACTCGTGCTATCTTTGACCAGCACACAACATCGACCACAATACAGATACTCGGAAGTGCAGGTTTACATTGATCTCTTTATTACATGAATCAACAGAAATGCTCCACATAACAATGCATCAATGTTCCACAAGAATACAATGAACCAACTGACCCCCACTGTCCTCACTAGTCCTCACATATCAGAATGCACGTGTCCATCGTTCCTATTCTCACAAATCACAACACGTCCACACAGTTCAGTCTTCAACTCGGTTCTGCGCTTTCTACCAGTCGCCTTCCCATTATATCCCCTCGTATTCGTAATCCTTTCCATTCGTTGCATCAGACTATGAACTACGCAGCGGCTTTGTGTTCGTTATCAGTCCACACCCCCTGTATCAGTTGCATCAGCCCAGTTTGGCCTTGATCGTGTCTTTAGTTGACAGACAGTATTGCGTTCTTATCGTCTTTAGTAACTACATTAGTTACATATATATATATATATATATATATATATATATATATATATATATATATATATATATATATATATATATATATATATATATATATATATATATATATATATATATATATATATAAAGGAGGGATAGTTTTAAAAAATGAAGAACACTTGATTCAAATAATGTGCTAAAAAATGTAATCTGTTAATTGAAGTATTCTAAATCAATGTTTATACCAGTAAACATCAACGCTTGTTCAATAAGTGCGCAATGGTTTTAAATCATGTAAATAAAACATGTGCATTGTAAATAAAACATTTAAAGTACTAAAAAAAAAATAGTAACTCCCAAACCTTGCGTATCTTCTGCCCCAAATGCTGACATGGCCTCCATGTTGAGGGCACACACTCCTCTCATGAAAGCTTTCTTCACTTGCTGACTGTACTGCTCCCTCTCACACTGTAAGATCCTCATCTTTTCCTCAAGCTCAGCAATGTGGCTGTTTAACTGAGTCATTTTAAAATACAGATGAAACTTTTTGTTCACACTTTTTAAAAATACTTTCTTAATAAAAACTTTTTTTGTTTTATACTAAAACTATCATTTTAAAGACTGAAAAAACAATTGAATGAGTATGAATTTAAAATGTGGTTTTCAACAACTAGAGTACAAAACCAAACATGGGGTTACAAGCAAATATTTAGAGAGAAAACATGGTGTTGCAGGCCCTTTATTAAGAACTACTAATGATAATATGGGACGGCATGACAATAGTAAAGTAAAGGCGGCTGGGCAAAGTGCTGACCACACCTTTCCTTCATTTGCCGAGGTCAAGTAACATATAAACTTTACTTCATCTGCCAAATGGATCTCTAGGTCTATAGGGGATTCTTTACATTTAATTAAATTAAAATTATAATCTTTGAAAAAAGAAAAAAAAATTCTATAGTTTATACAGACCTACTGATAAAATACTAGAGCTTTATTCAAAAAAGTTTGATTGAGGCTGAGGTATCCATACACATGATGAAATAAAACAAAACTTGACTCACTGATTGAATCTTGCACTCGTAGTCCGTGCTCAACTGTGTACAAATACTCTGTGCCTTGACCTCACACAGCCTCTCAACCCTCTTGCGCCACCGACATTGTACAGTGCCAAACCAGGCCTTAAACACTTTCTGCATCAGCATGTGATTGTGGAAATTTTGGGCCACCCTTTCAGTAAACTTCTGCAGAACAAAATAATCACAATTTTTAATTGGTATCAATCTAAGTAATGTAAATAAAACAAAATAATTTTTTACCAAAACTTTTGTAAACTTCTGTAGTATTCCTACAAAATAAACGTTACACAAAAAAAGTATCATTTATTATAGAAATATCAATTTTAAAACTTTTTGTAAATCCCACAGAATATTTAATGTTTGTATTCCAAATATTTTAAGTAGAAGAATGTATCCTATATTAAGTAATTGCCTATGTTCATCTGTCTGTAACCATAAATACACCCATAAATACAGAACACACAACTAGCCAAGAAGAGTGACAGAGGTAAAGGAAAACAATCAAATGATTTTTCAAATTTAAACATTTGTGCATTTTCATTTTTTTATTTATATTTTTTAAATGTATGCCTGTTGACTAACAATAAAGAAAGAAATATCAGAAAGAAAATATAATATCTTGATAAAATAACAAATATTACAAGTAAAAAAACAAAATTTCTCAATAATTAAAAATACTACAGACCTCTCTCTTGGTGTCAACGACCTGAGCCTTGCAAGCAAAAAACGCCTGAGCTTTGGTCACTTTCTCTTTCTCTTTGGCCAGCGCCTGGGTCAAGTTCTCTATCAGCGTGTCCTTCCTACACATGCTCTGTTCACATGTGCTGACCAGCTCACCCAGCTTGGTTACCTCCCTGCAAAGCCTTTCTTTCTCTTCCATCAACCTGGTGTTAAAAATTCAGGGTCCTTAATTTTCTTTTTTTAATATATAAAATAAAAATTGAAATAAAAAATTCAGGGTTCTAAATTTTCTGTTTTTAATATATAAAATAAAAACTGAAATAGAATTTTCTAGAAAAAAAAACTGAAATAAAAAATTCAGGGTTCTAAATTTTCTGTTTTTAATATATAAAATAAAAACTGAAATAAAATTTTCTAGAAAAAAAAACTGAAATAAAAATTCAGGGTTCTAAATTTTCTGTTTTTAATATATAAAATAAAAACTGAACTAAAAATTCAGGGTTCTAAATTTTCTATTTTTAATATATAAAATAAAAACTGAAATAAAATTTTCTAGAAAAAAAACAAAAAAGTCAATCATAGAATCAAGAAGGGCAGATAAATAAAACTAAAAGCTCAAATACTTTCACGTTGTCTACATTAAGCACAATTAGCTAGTGGCCATCACTAAGAAAGCAGTCTTTACATTTCTTAAGTCAGATACCCATTACAGTTTATTGGTCTAAAGAGTTCGGCGGTGTCAGCCAGTAAAGCTCATGGTTGCTAAACCAAGTCCCGAGTTCAAAACCCTGGGCAGATGAGGCTCGATAGCTGGGGACAACAACCCATCTAGGTGAGAAAACTCCAAAATCAAACTGTTGCCTTGTTCTAGAGCAAACAAACTCTATGTAAACAAATCCAGAAGGAAAAGCAGGCGGAAATCAGAGTTAAAGGCCTAAATCGTGCATAACAGGTTGACAGGTAATAGTGATAGAAGATATCCCGTCTAATATTACAATTAAGAAAGAAGAAGAAAACAGGAATTGGTCTTAGAAAATTTCTGTGGACGACCTCAGGAATGTAATAACAGCCTTCAGCATCAGCTTTTTTACCACTTGACCATCCCCCCCCCCCCTCCCATGATCTAACCTTAGAAACCATAACATTGATGCTTAGTACACTAACTTACTCCTGTCTCTCTCTGTAGTGAAGCTTAGTGACACAGTCAGCTGCTTGTGTTGTTGATTTACCCATCTCTTCCTGCACATTAAATAGTATTCATCAAAACAGGTAAACTAAAATAACTTAATATTAATAAGTCACATAAAACTGAATACACAACACTATATTGTTAGTATTAAATAAAAAATTTTTTAAATAAATGTAAGAACTACCACTAGTGCTTTTCAAAAAGTGAACTAGAAAATTTTTTTGGTATAGGCCTATTTACACAATTTTTTTTTTTAAAAACCACCACAAAAATTGTTTCACTAACCAGTATCTCAGTCTTGAGCTTTGCCAGCCAACCATCAAGTTTACAAGACATATCTAGTACAGCAGTACCCACTATGGACCCATGTTTATGTTTTGATGTCTTGGTAAGTCCTTCTAGTAAAATTATTGTGGTTACAGAGAAGGCAGAAACAAAAATATTCAATATAGTGCTAAAAACTTCTCTTGGGTTAACTTAAACAAACCGCTAAGTAATTGCAACAACATTATTTTTGGGATAGTAAACATAAATAATTAAAACATTTAAGATGAGGATACATAGAAAATTGTATCACAGGATCTACTCTTATTAAGTATGAACAAGAATTCAGCTGCTCTGTTCTTATGGAGATGTCTGATACATAATATTAAATAATACAGCTGTAAGATTTTATGAGCATAGACTAATTGTTTTTAAAATCTCTGTATGGGTAGGGCCTACTTACTTTTCTTTTTTAATTTATTGTCGTTTTTGTCTGTCTCTGTAAATAAATGAAAGCTTTGTTCACTGTCTGTACTTTCATCTTTGCTGGTATAATGTGTTGGATAAATTGAGTTTGTGTTAGCATCATTAACAGTTTCCCCTGATGAAGAAAGAAAATATAATGCTCCATGTTAAAAAACTATCAACACAAGAAATGTTAAAACAATAACAAAAAAAAAAGCATGATATTTACAAAATATTTTATTGCAATATCTTGATGACCACAGCTTATGAAGAATCTGTGATACAGATCATAAAAATTTCTAAAACTGTGGTGGCATGGTCAATTAATACATCACTCTCTTGCAGGACCCTAGTTTCTAGTTTAGAATAACTCAAGTGAATAAGTATACTGGGATGCTGTGGTCGGATGGTAGAGCATATGACTGTTTCAAGTTCAAATCCGCAGGCTTAAACCCTTGAGACCACCCAGTTCCCACAATAGGGGAAATAAAGTTGGCTGGGCATAGTGCAGACAAGACTTGCTTCATATGACGAGATCACAGAAACAGGCAAACTCCAGTCCAGGCCTTTATAATCTCCGCCATGACCACCAGATTTGAATGATAACTTTACTTACTTTTAAACAAAGCAGAGACAATTTGAGGACACAGAAACAAATGAGCATTGCTTCAGCTGTAGGGCCTAAAACAGTACATTCCCCACCACTATATTACAAGAAGTAACACAGCATTCAGCTGTATGGCCTAAAACAGTACATTCACTACCACTATATTATAAAGTAACACAGCAGCTACAAACCTTGTTGATGGTATACAGGTGTTTGTCTGGAGCTAGACACACCTGACCTGTTTGACCCACCCGACCTGTTTGACCCACCCGACCTGTGGGAGTTGATTGGCTGGAACACACCCTCCTTTTCAGGATTGCCTAGCCCTTTCAGATCTAGTGGTGGCATTCCAACTGCATACTTTAAAAGTTCTGAATACTCTTCCTAACAACAAATAAAAGACATATTGTATAACAAATCAACATCAATTAATCTGAACCTTTAGTCATTGCCAAAACCTATATAAATAACTCACTTATTTAGATAAATTCAACATATATAAAAAAATAATACCTAATTTAAATTTTATATTTGTACAGCTTAAAGAGAAATTCAGGATTCCTGTATTTAAATATTCCAACAGATTGTACTCTTCAGCATTTGGTTAAGATTATCATAAAATTAACCTACAAATATTGAAAAGTAAATCTAGTATTACCTTGGTGCCCCAACATAAACATTTAAGAAAGTTGAGGTAAGTGTAATTACCTGCATTCGGGAGGACACAGAACTTCCAGGTGATTCCGGGGGAAGCATGGGAGGACTATTCCTACTTGCAGCTTCACCAGATGAATCATGGCTTTGACCACTCATTGTTTTACTCCTAATGTTGAGACCCTTAAATTAATGATCATGTTAATTTTTAAGTAAAAGAATTTTTAAAAATAGGTTTTAAAGAAGAAGACAAGTATTAATTAATCAAATGTAATACAGACAGCTGAATTGATAATGACTCATAATTGCAGGATAGGTAAGGCTAATATTACTATCTCTAGGCCATAAATAATTCTCATTGCTTGATGCTGAACATTCAAAACACAAAGCTACTTCTTTTTCTTCATTTTTAATTGTAATATTGAATGTGATTTCCTCCAACACAATTAAAAATGTGTCAACCAGTTATGTGCCATTTAGGTAGTATATTCTGATTATAAACTGCTCTTCTTTTTGGGTTTGTTTCAATATCTTTTTTTCCCACCCAAGAACAAACTACAAGTTATTTGCTGTCCTCGGCTATTGCACTTCACCGGCCAGGGGGATTCTATCCTGGGACTTTTCAGTTTAGCAATCACCAGGTTTACCATCCCGACCCCTGATCTGGACAGTAACTTGATTAGGTAAAGAGTGAGGGAAGGCTTTGATTTATCACCTATACATACTATACAGTCTTTGAGGAAAACTTTTACAAACAAATTGCAAAAATTGTCCCCCTACACTGAGTAGTTATTTTCTTTTAACTTTTTAAAAGCTTTGGGTAGAATCTCATCTATATTTTTGTTATAGACGGTAAAATTTGTGACCCATTTTATGTTAATATGCTTGCATATTTATATTAATTTTAAATATGTAATTTTAAAACTATTCTAATTGATACTTCTGAATATATTTAGAAGAAATATACCAGGGAAATATTTTGAGAGAATAATAATAATAATGAAGACTAACAAAAGGTTGTGTTGCTGTTCTAATTATAGGCCTTATTGTATACTAAAATAGTCAATTAGTAGGCCCTCTGCCTAATTTTATCTTTTAACTAAACCAATATTTGCAAATAATAGTAATAGGCCTATTAGATATTCAGTAAAGTCCAGTTAAGTAGGCATTATAGTTTATATTGTATTAAGTATTATAACCTAGCCCTAGATCTAGGCCTAACTAAGGCTAAAATGAACTAAATTTAAATGCAACATTTAATTTTAATAAAAATTAAAAATAAACTTTAGGCCTAAAGTAACAGTTTAAAGAGATATGTAACACAACACTAAGACTTAAGATTTAAAATTTAAACTGATTATAATCTAGATATAGACTTAATTGTAGACTTAATTTTTTTAAAATGCAAAGAAGTAAGACTATTGAAATACATTAGTTTAGTTTAGTTAAGTAGTAGGCCTATAAAAAGAACATGTTGTAACTTGTGGTGAGCTATGCCGAATGATCCGGTTTTTCTGCTATTGTGATATTTAACAGAGTAAATCAAATTGTACTATACTTGATGATTAGACCTAGATCTAGAAATCTAGTTATAATCTGCATTGTCTCATTTTTTGTTAGAATCATACCGGCTTAACTGCAGTAGTCACTTAGAAAATAGTCCAACAATCCGTATAGTTATCAGTTCAGTGAAACCTCCATTTGTAAACAAAACTCAAATGTCAAGCAGTCTCTACGGCGATTGGATAATTTCGACTCCTCTAAATACCAAGAAATACAAAACATAAAAATGTTCGTGGTTAATCGAAAGATTTATATATCTATTTGCAGTTGCATACATTTACTAAATTTACTAAATTTACTAAATTTACTAAATGATTTAGTAAATGCCATGTACGACCACGCTTTTATTTATAATTATGTGTGCTAAATCAATCGAGTTATCTTATTCTCATTGAAATAGAGTTAAATAACACTTCTGATACATGCACATTGGATCTAAGTTGAAGTTTGCAGTTTCGTTCATCTAACTGAAACGTTGTTTAAGTTATCGGTTTTTGAGAACTAGAGATCTAGAAAATAGAGTAAGTACCACTTCAGACAGTGGTGTTCATTCGAGCACCCTAATTTCCCAGGTGGCTATCTGAGCGCATGGGGTCCATTGGTTTGGTGTACTGCACACAGTGGCGTGCAGATGGAGGGGGGGGGGGGGGGAGCAGGCCGCTAGCATCCATTTCGGGGGGCATCCGATGCGGGTGAATTTTTTTTTTGTAACTGAAAAAAGTTGCGGCATGTTGTGTCATTGGGTCATGATACCTTTTCATTTGTCTCCACACTGACTGCTGACTAATTTACTTATTTACTAATCTCAACAAAAACAAATTGTAATACTCAATCGTCTATCACTGTCTGTCAGAGTTTTTTCCAGGCATCTCTTCTGGGGGGCGAAGCCCCCCCCCCCCCCCCCGAAAATTTTTCACCGCCCCCCGAACGAAATGAAATTTATATAATTTATATAGAAAATATATACTTTTAACAGTGTCCGCCCCTTCCCCCCCCCCCCCCCGAAGAAAGTTTACCGCCCCCCCCCCCCCGAAAATTTCAAGAGCCCCCCCGGAGAAAAAAGTCTGGAAGAAACACTGGTGTCTGTATAGCACAAATTATATATATATATATATATATATATATATATATATATATATATATATATATATATATATATATATATATATGCATTAATTGCATTAATGTTTCTTTAATAAATGCTTTCTTTATATTAAAGTGTGAATCTGCTCTGCATTTTATTTAGTATAGTGTAGGCCCGCAGGGGTCGGCAACCTTTTGAGACATAAGAGCGGGTGACCCGGGGCGCCATGGTCTACCTTATGAGCAATATGGCGCCTACACATGTTTCAAAAAGCGCCCTACAATAGGAATGCCCTGGGCTACTACACTCAATGGCTTAACCTAAGTATGGATGGCAATCAACATACTCTGAAGGTTTTCATACACCCTGTCCTGGGGCGTCTGGGACAAAGTCAAGACAAACTGGCGCCCAAAATCTAAGATGGAAGTAATATATTGCCGATTTAGTTTACATTAAATAACTCAGTTCTAGAAAACAAGGACGCGCGTCTAAAATTACTTCTATGTAGCACGTACATATAACCCTCATTAAAAAAGTACCGTGAGTATGATATGATGTTTAGGACTAGATCACAGCAACACGCAACAAATCACATTTTACTGTAGCCATTAGTTGTAAATCTATTTCAATGTGCGACCGTTTTTGGATTCAACACTCATGTAAGTGCAACAATAACTTATCACGCTTCATTTTTTAATTTATTATTTGAGCACATCATCCACAAGTTCATTACACACTGACAATTGTACATACAACATCAAATACACAGAAGGTTTAATATGTGACGTCGTGGTTGTGTATAGAGTATGACATCCATCACGGTGTTGCGAGTCTTGGTCATCATTGTACGAGTTTTTCTTCCACGTCAGTCAGCACCATGTAAGCAGTACCAGCTGTGTTGCTTGTTGCTCCAAAATTATAATAAAACACTTCTCATTAGTTGCTTGCTTGTACTACTATCTACGTAGTATTATGTACATATTTAATGAACAAAGTTCCGTCCCGAACTCTTTAGCTAGTCCCTCGTGTGAAATCGTACCGTACGCCGCTGAATTTACAACATTTACACAACAGCTTACTGGTACTAATTAAGTCCGATTGTTTGTTTTTAATAAAGGATAAATCTGATTTTATCTCATCAAACGGTTTGGGATTGGACAGGTACATGGAAATAGGATTTGTGGCGTTTTGCAGTTTTGCGAGTTTTAAAGCAAAGTTTCTGATTTTGGGGTAGTACGCAAAGGCGGAGACAAACTGCTGGAAAGGTTCCCGTAGAATGGAAATGTAAGCTGTGTCTTCAGGCATGATGAGGTGGAATGCTGTCCTGTTGTAGATGGCATGGTTGAATAGGATGTTGTATTGTTTCCCAGGTGGGAGCGGCACCACCTTGTCCTTGGTGAGTACATCGCCCGCACGTGATATGTAGTTGTAGCCGTAGCTGTGGAACTTAGTGTTGGGGAGCGCGAAGCTCAAGTAGTTCAGGATCCCGTAACGCTGTAGGATGTTGGCGATCGTGGAGCTACCGGCCTTGTGGACTTTGACGAAAGCGACGTTGGAGATTGGCTTGCAGGGAATGGGTGGTGCTGTTACGTTGTCCAGGTATCTGACCTGACCCATCAGCTGCCTGTTAGTAGGGTCAGCCTGGTCGATGACCAGGGTCTGTGTGATTGGAATGGAAAGTATCACACTCAGAACGATAATGAGATAGCTGGGGAGAGAATATAAAACAAATTTAGACACACACACACATACACACACAAACATACATATATACACACATATATATATATATATATATATATATATATATATATATATATATATATATATATATATATATATATATATATATATATATATATAAGTATATATATATGTGTGTGTGTGTGTGTGTGTGTATTATATGGCTGGTGATGTGTAAGTGACATTTGAGAATTAAATAATAATGTAGCTGTTACTACTTTAATCTGTATACTTGCAGATGGACGCCAAAGGACAGCTGCTAAAGGTAAACCTGAGTTGGAAATCCCTATCACATAAGGGCCCCCACTTATATAGGTTGCTGTCCTCAACTGACCATCCTCATCTGCCCGAGGATTTGAACTCGGGACTTTCATGTTAGCAACCACGCGACCACTCTCCCACAGAGCCTGAGCGCCGATGGTGTTGTAATTGAAAGATAAATAAACCCGTATTTACCAGACGCATTTCCGCTTCCGTAACAACCTCATGACCCAACCGTTACAGGATGTTACGGTTTCTGTAACGTGAGCAGACTTGTGCACATGGTGTCCTGGGGGAGGAAAACAAAAATTTACACCTGGTTAGTTGGAACTTTTGCAACCAAGATGGAAGCAAACAAATATTACACAGCTAGATTATATTTCATCCCAAAGTCTTTTTTTTACAAGCTTTTATTTAACTCACTTCCTCAGTCGTCAGTCTGTCTAGATCGAAACGGCCGAGCGAAATTGCAGGCACTTCTGATTGACATATACAGTTCATAGTTGGTACGTGGGTCAAGATATAAAGACAATGCATCATGACATTAGGGGTCGTTAGTTGATGAGGCTCGTTAGCTGGGGACAGCCACTCTTCTAGGAGAGACAACTCCAAAATTAAACAACTGCTGCCTTGTAGTTTGTTCTTGGTTGGACAAAGGCTATGGAAGCAAATCCAAAAAGAAAAGCAGGCTGAAATCGGAGTCAATGGCCTCAATGGCGCATAACCAGTTGACACGTAACGCTTAATTGTGTTAGAGGCGTGGTCGAGTCGGCAAATAGCTCATGGTTGATAAATTCGAACAAAGTCTCGAGTTCAATCCCACTGGTCGATAAATCTCGATCTCCTTCAACACTAATAATTAAGAACGAAGAAGAAGACATCATGACATTCAATTTGACTTAATTGGTCGCCTGATTAATTTTTTGTGAATTAATTAAAATTTTGTCCAAATTATTAGACTGTCTCATCAAACTATTCCGCGCTATTATATATGCGTCATCACGTTCAATAGGTGCGCAATGGTTTTTAGTCATGTAACTCTATTGTAAATAAAACATGTAAAGTACTTTTAAAAATTTAATAAAAATCGTTTCAATAACAAGCTTTTATGTAATAATGCACTAAAAAGTAGAAAATAAATTATAGAATACTATTTAAATAACTATAAATAAAAGCGTGGGTCTTTTCCTAAATATCAGTAAAGGTCTCCAATATATACTAAAGTGACCCACGCTTTTCTTTATAGTTATTTAAATAGTATTCTATAATTTATTTTCTACTGTTTAGTGCATTATTACATAAAAGCTTGTTATTAAAACGATTTTTATTAATTTTTTTTATTTCTAATAAATTTTCAAATTACTTGCATATTTTATGTGCATTGATTGTGTGCATTGATTATTTTTAAGCTATGTTTGAAGTACAACAGAAGAGAAGTAAACAGAATATATTTACTAGTTTAGTTATTATATCAAAATGTATGTGGCTAGAAAATTATTTAAAACATTAACTAGCTAGTAATCTAAGAAATAGTATGTAAAAACTAAACAGATTCATATTTGATCAATTATCTGTAGTATATAATACTACGGCTATGGCAACACCATGTAAAGTACATACAAAGCGCATAAACAAATGCAGGTACAACCAGAAATCGCTGAAAAGTATAACAATCATTTTTTTTTAAATAACTCACCGTCGTCCTTAGTTTGGACCTCACCGAGTCTCCCACCATAGGTAGACATACTGGATTTGCACTCCAACAGCAGTAAGAGAACTAAAACTGCAATACAACTCAGGCGACAAGATTACCCATTAAGCAACAGCTGTGTACTAAAATGTTTCAAATCTTTGACAAAAATCAAGAAAAACCAAAAAAAAAAAAAATACGTAGGCCTACACCACGTGCATAGATCAAAAGCAGATGTGACGTCTAGAGTCAATTCAGCAAAATAATAATACAATAACTCGCTTAAAGAAATATCAACATAAAAAATACCTAATATGTACTGAAGGGAAATGTGTCAGAGCTGCCAAAAATAGACGGGATTAACACTAGCAGAGATGCTGAAGAGGAC